CCAAGTGTAGACTAACCTGCATGTTTAAGGTAGACCCATCTAAGCTAGGACATCTGGTCAGTATGGTATGCAGAGTATCAGTGCATTTTTACTTCTGATATTTTCATGTTACCATGGGAAACCCCACCATAAGTCAAGAAGCATTTGTGTAGCAATGATGAGAGTTATCTGACTATGACTCTGTTCCTATTCTAGCACCAGTTCTGAGCAGACTCATTAGTTTCTATCTGAGCCTATGGTTGATTCAACCCTAAACTTGTTGTTTCTTGTGCTACAAATCTGGAACAAATCAAATACCTTATCTTTAGCACCCAGTTCTTATGTTGAGCACTAAACTTGTTTCATCCCACATTCACTTACTGAGTTCAGTACATTTAGTGCTACAGCATGTGTAAATCAATCTGTCCACCCACCAACTAGCACACATGCAAACCTGGCTTTGTCAGCTACCAAAGATATAGGTTCAAGCCAGGTGTTTCCTGTCATCACCACTGCTTCCCTCCTACTGGAAGTCATAGCTATTGCTCTAGAAAGTCTCCTTTCTCTACTTTCTATCTGTCTGCTATTCAATCTAATCCCATTCAGGTGAATTCTGCTATTCCTTCTCCCCATGATCTCCAAGGACACAAAACTTTAAGCTTTTTCCATTCCTTCCACTATATCCTATCAAGTCCATTGTTATGACAAGCCCTATTCCTCTATTCCTCCTTCCTCTCCATTTCTCAGATATCATATTAGCTGCTCAGTGATGCTATGTCGTTCATAAGCACTATGTCATATTCCTCAGTATCTCAAGATACCCAAAATAGGAATAACCATATTGTACACAGTCAATAAAATTCATTAACATTGAGTAGCTATTATTAACTCCCAAATAGATGGAATTTCCAGAAAACCATTGTTTCTATTTAATGCTTATAAAAGTTATAAACAACCATTTGAACCTACATAGGATATATTTCAATGTGACACTTGCTTTCTTAGAGATCCTAGTAAAAATAAATTATTTTCTTTTTAAAAAAAAAAAGTTATAAACAGACTGGCCTGGAAAAAAAATACCTTCTAGACCTTTCCAAATTCCCCACTGTCTCCTAAAAGGTATGTCTGATAGTTGAAAGTAAACCAGGCTTTGCAAGCACTAAGTCGCTCCTCAATCTTACCCAGAGTGTCATTTAGTCAATGACCTTCCCTAAGGACATATAAATGGAACAGAGCTACCTGAGCAAAATTAATTCACCCAACTCAAGTAAGTAACTCACATAACCCTAAGATATCTGGTCCATATTTCAATCCTGGTTTTCACCAGGAAGAACTGGATTTTACTTTTTCTAGATTTAAATTTTAGCTGATTAGCACAGTTAGGTTTGCAAGAAGCTGAAGCTCCATGGTAAATAGGCATTATATCACCCATGCTTATGATTATGAGACAATTAAAATGTAGTATCTTTTGCTGTATTTGAAAATATGATGTTTGCCTCCTGATTCCCTAACACTGCACATGAAGGTACCCGATGGCAGGGAATGTGAAACAAGAATAGGATGCAGACTCACCCTACCTTGGGCACCTGGGGAGTGGGAATGAGTTCAGCAGTTTGTACAGCAACAGGGAAGGAGGAAGATAAAGGGCAGCTACATTCAAGGTCAGCATGACCACTACTCCGTCCATCCAGAAAATGATAGAAGGCAACAATGTTGGACTAATAATGGCCACATTTTTGATTATTCAAAAGAAGGCAGAAATGCAGACTTTTAAAATATAAAATCATCCCAATATTGGCAAGTAATTCAAATTACAAACACCTAACAAGCAAACAAAAACTCTGTGCCAAGCAAATTCAACATGTAGAGCTGCTAATGAGTGATCTCTAACATATATAGTAAGAGTCAGAGGGATATTTAAAAACTCCTAAAATATACTATAGTACTAAAACTAAATCCCTACTTCATATCCATTTTTAGTAACTGGATTTCTGTGTTAATATTCTGTGTTTGAGTACCTATATTAATAATCATATCAGGTAGATTACAAAGCTCAAATGCAAAAAACAACAATAAAAGTAGAAGAAAATGGAAGTGAATATGCATCAAATCTTTCGTTTGGAGATGACACTAATCATAATGGTAATTAAAGAATCACATGAGAAATTTCATCTATAATTACAAATACTTAACATGAAATTTTCTTGTCCAAAATTAAATGCAAAAATATAGAAAATATTTGAAGGCAATATGGCAAACAAAGGCTAGTATCAGGCTAAACCTGAGACTCTAAACCTGAAACTCCTTATGGATGAGATGACTGTACTGCCAGTTCCTATACCAGTTCAGATCTGAGACAACTGCAAAACCCACCCTGGCTTCTCAGAGGGGTCATACACATGTGATGAGTTCTAAAAACATGAAAAACAGAAGAGAAAACTGTGTGCCACAAAAGACCAAGAAAAAGAATCCATACCAAAGAAGCTCAGATTTTAAAAAACATGAAAAAATTTTTAAAACTTGTGGAGAGTGGAGTATGAGAAGCCTATGAGAACTTGACATAAGCAGACAAAGAAGCATTTCATTGTTGATATTCTTTTAAGCTGCCCTAAATAGTGTGGTACAGATGACTGAAAAGAAAATCAGTGACTTGGAAGCTAGCCTCTCCAAGAACACACCATCAACAAACTAAGAGATATGAAACAGGAAAATCTGAAGAAAAAAAAAAAAAAAGCTTATTTTTATCCCCCAAATTCAAGTATGTATCTATACATAAAGTTATATAAATAATTTCAGGAAGTTCCCAGAGTTCCTGAAGCCAAAATTCTGCCACAGATTTCTGAATACAAAAGATCATAAGATCTGCAGTCTGTTCTACTCAATTAATGCATACAATGAAATACTGGTTCAACCTAGCGTTTTAGAGCAAAGTAGGGTGACTATCGTTTAACAATAATTTATTACAGATTTTTAAATAGCTAGGAGAAAGGCTTTTGAATGTTACAAACACAAAGAGATGACAAATGTTTGGGATGATGTATATGCTAATTACTCTGATTTGATCATAATACATTTCATACCTGTATTGAAATAATACACAGCAGCCCATAAATAATTGTAATTATTATATGACAATTTAAAAAAAAATACTGGTTCAAGGCTCAGGAAACAGACATTAAATTTGAGTTTGTATCAAACCAAAGAGAAGCCCAACAATGTAAACCAACTAAATCTGATCAAGAAATAAATTCACAAATAAAGGGTCCCATATCCTTCTAAATATTATGCTGTAAAACTCAGGTAAGAAGGAGAAAATCAGTAGTTTTCCATAAGCAAATAAATGGACTCTAGTTTGTATTAAACTTGTTTAATTATAATAATTATATGTGATATCACTTTAAAATTAAAGAGTATAATAGGTAAAAAAATCATTTAAAATGTTAAATGATTGGAATGGGGATACAAGATTGGTGGAGTTTGAAAGAAACAAAATTACTCTGGATTAGAAAAGGGTGAGAAAGATAAAGAAGCATAAAGGAAAGATCTAGAGAAATGACCTACACTAAGGAAATTTAGAGACAATGCTGGAAAAGAGCAAAGAAAGAGGAAGTAGCTGGCTGGAACCTGTTGGTGTGGGTGAGTGGAACAGAGCCCCCTACTGGCAAATTAGGTGATACATGCCATAAGCTTTATGATACCAACTCCACAGTATCTTCAACAAATCCAGTCATTGTTTTGTTTTGTTTTTAATGAAAGTGGGAAAGGCAAGGAAGCATTGCACTCCTTTCAAGGCCAGCCTGAAGCAATTGCAAGGGAGACAGGGAGAGCTAGCCAAAATCTGTATTACACAAGAAGTTCTAAATTTGCCCCTTAAAATGAACCTAAACAGAAATGTTTGGTCCTCTTCAAAACATGGTTGGAAGGTAACTCTCTTACACAGATTCTGAGAGCAGGAAAATTCTCCTTAAAATAGACTTGAAATGATTCAGAATATAAAACTCAAATGGCATTCTGGATGTCTTCTGTTTAAGATAGCTAAGATCTTTGGAAAGTAAAATGATGACTTCTCTGAAAATCTGTAATGAGGGTTTCAAAACAAAATGATCTCTTGAACATTTTTAGAAATGTTTAATAAACTTCAGTATTAAGATTCTTTGAGAGTGTGTGTGTGTATACATACATGAGTGTATATATACACATATATCCATAGGTTTTCTTCAAGCTAATGTGGAAAGAAATTATCTTGGCTGAAGACCTTGAAATATTTAGATACACATGTTTATCTTCTTTGACTTTAGAAGCATATACATCAAGTTGTCTTGAAGTTTATACGAATTGTGTCTGCTTGTAAATAGTATATTTGAATCACAACAGAGCAGGCTCCCGTGGAATACATGCACTTTGGACAAGGAGGTGGATGACTCTCCGCTCAGGACACACGCTTCCACCTGGAGAGGTAACTGTGTAGGAGTCGGTTTCATCACGTGCCATCTGACAGAAGCATTTATGCATGAGGATACAAGCATTTATTTATGAATCTTTGCTTTCTCGCCAAACATGTTCTCCTTACAGAAGTAACTGAAGTCTTCAATTTTCTCAGGCTATTTTACACTTTCTCTTCTCAGAGGGAAACTTTCTGACCTCAGCCATTCTATTCCTAATTAAAAGCAGGGAATTTGAAAATGCCTGGCATGGAATGGTGTGGTCGTGTAGGCCTTCACTAAACCAAATGGTCTCTTGTTCATGAGACACAATTAAACTGAAATGAATTTAAAACAATATTTCAAGACTTGTAATTACATTTAAAGCACAGAAGTATAAAAACTATAATAGTAAAATCTTGAATAATAAATATAAATATGAAAAGGTTCTACAAATTTTTCATTGTATTATTTCCAAAACACAGTATCTGGGAAATGTGACACTGAGGAAAAACATCCAACTTATGCTCAATAGCTATCAAAATTAAGTGATGCCAAAGTCAAAAATAAAGAGCAGGAATAATTTTTAAATGCACTCACCGACCACAATTGAACACTCACAGTGATAATAACCATCACTTCGTTTTTTCTTCAGCATGGAGCAAAGATCTATGCGACGTAACATTTCTTCTCCAAATCTGTGGTTGATGAATTTTTCATACAATTCAGGGTCTATTTTTTTCACTCCCTTGAAATGTCAAGACAAAAATCACATCAATCAATCATTTCACCCAGGCAGCCAGTTCATATTTATATCACTTTTTTAGAAACTAATATTTCATTTGGGGATTCAATACTGCCTACTGGCACTTAAAAACAGTCACTACAGAACTGTGGTAAAGCTTTTTTGCCTTGTTTAGTTTTCTCCTGTTTTCCTAAGACAGGGTTTCACTATATAGCACAGGTTGTCCTGGAACTTGCTACGTAGCCAGGCTGGCCTCAACTTCATGATCCTGGTGTGAACCACCACACCCAGCTTGTAATGGTGTTTTTCAAGTCTCCCTGCCTAAGATGAGTTGTAGTTTAAAAACCATGAATTAAAGAGCATTAATTTAAGTTTCGCAGCACATGGAACTTCATATACTTTAAGCTTCAGATGTAATATGGCATGTCATGTTAAATTTGAAATATCAAGGGCAGAGTGATCATCTGGGGTAACAATAGAAAACTGGATGGATTTTTATAAAATGATGTGGATCTTAACATTTTATACTGGGAAAATGGTCTAATACAATAGATGCATTTTAAATTCCTTGTGTAAAAACTTCCTGAAAGACAATCAAAGGTTGTTTGAACAGGGGGTCAGTGATCTTCCAAGTTCTCTATCTGTCTCTCCTGATTTTCTGTGTCCCTCACAGCAGGGACAGCTGACTGTTGAATAAGCACAGTGAGATGCTCTTGGTACCTTTGCAGTTTTCCAAATCATGAGAAGTAATATCTCCATCTCCCCTCTGCTACCTAATAGCTCTGCAACTCAGCCTCAGAATCCCAAAGCACAGTCTATGGGATGAAGATAATTAGAACGCATTTAATAAAAACGTGTTACAGAAAAATCTTAAATAGGAATACAAAACATTATTTTGTTCTGCATTTCATTTTCCTTATGCAAATACAAAACCTTTTTCTATTTTTATAGAAATATGGTTATGTCCTGAGTTCTACTTGACAACCAGCTTTACTCTTTCAGTAAATATGCCATGTCAATAAACAATGCACAAATGTACAGTGTGTATGTCTCCACAGTCCTCCAGTGTAGGCATTTAGCATCATTTTATTCATCCAGTCCTACACTGTTGGCCACTTAGGTTGCTCTTAATTGTTGATATTATATCCAGCATGTTTTTGGTCATGTTCACGTATGGGTTCCTAATGGTAACTGCCCCGCTCAGCGTCTCTCCCAACCTCAGTTAATGATAACTCTGTTCTAACTGCACATGCTCAAAGCCTTGAGATCATCCTTGACTTCTCTTCTCTCAACCCGACATCCAAGTTGTGTTGTTTCTACCTTCAAAATATATCCAGGTCTCACCAAACGTTCATTGCTACCTTTATCCAAAACACCATTTTTGTCTTTTACCTAAATGATTGCAATGGCTTCCTTATTATTTTCCTACCACTCCAGGACAATCCTATAAAAACATATATCAAATCAGTTCACTGTTCTGCTTAAAACCTCCCAAAGGATCCGTATTTCTCTCAAAGGAAGAGCCTAAGCCCTCAAAACAGCCTACAAGGTACTGTTACGCCTGCACTACGCTTCCTAGATCTGGTCTCCCACCACCTTCACCCCTCTCTGCCTCCCTAAACCTCCTTGCTATTCCTTGAACATGCCAGGCCCAAGTCCACCTCCAAGTCTCTGTGCTGCCTATAACCTGATCCACCTTCTGGAATGTTCCTTCCCCAAATATCCTCATAGTTCATCCCACATCTCCATTAATTCCTTGAACAAATATTATTTTCATAATACACCCTCCCCTGACCATCTCATATATTTTGCACTCTCACCCATATCTTCTCTACTCCTCTCTTTTTGTATATATTCATGCATATACTCCCACAGTACCTACTATTTTCTAGCATGTTATATAATGTACTTATTTATTATAATTATTTTTCATTGGCATTATCCATCTCTGTGGATATGGAATGGAAACTCCACAGGGGAAAAACATGTCTGATTTTTACTGACTGAAATACTCCTACTATCAGGACTCAGTCCTAGTACAGTACTTATCATGGAGCAGTACTCAATAAATAATTGTCACAAATACAAAAGAGGACAAAGTCTGAAGAAAAGGATAGCTGACATCAAATGCTGTTTATTCAAACATCAGTAAGAATGAACCAAGTGGATTTCTTTCAGTTTAGTGAGCAGAATGCCCTGAGAAAGGCAGCTTGAGCATCACGCCAAGGTGCAATCAGAATGCGTAAACTCAACTCCTGCATCTGCCACTGTCCAGCAGAGCCGCAATGCCTGAGACAAATCAACTTCTAAGTAGGAAAGGTTTACCTCAGAGGTGTCATGGTCAGTTGGCCCTGTTGCTTTGGGCCTGCAGTGAGGCAGCACATCATGGCAGGAGTACATGTGAAGGGAAGCTGCTCACTTCAAGGTGGCTGGGAGAGAGAAAGAGGGTAGGGTCCCAAGATCCCCTTCAAGGGCACACCAACAATGACCTAACTTCCTTCCATAAGACCCCACCTCCTAAAGGTTCTATGCCTCCCAATTGCACCATCGGCTGGTGACTTCTTTACCAGATGGGCCTTTGGGGTCATTGAAGATCTAAACCATGACATCTGCCATTCAGCTTCACTTCAGTCTCCCTATCTGTAAAATGAGGTTAACAATAGTACCTACCCCTCAAAGTGTTATTTGGACTAGATCAATTAATTTACGTAAGTGATTAAAACAGTAATTATAATAAATGCTTATACATGCATAGCATTATTATCACTAGTTATGGCCAAGGTAAGACTGCAAGAATTTTAAGAAATTCTGAGGGAATGGAAACTGACCATTTTTACTTCTCTTTTAAATGCTTATCAGGGTGTGTATGTATGTACGTATGTATGTATGTATGTGTCTAAGGAGATAGGAAGGGAAGGCAGTGGTTCCTTTAGACAAGACAGAAGACAAATGATAGCTTAGCAGATAAAGAACAGCCTTTAGTTTTCAAAATTCTGATGCCAGCATTGACTAGCCCTATACTATTTCAGTTTTCTAAAATGTCATTTTTAAAAAGGAAGCAATAAGGGAAACACAAGAGTGCCTCCAATCTCCTAAGCTAATTAGTTAGCAAAAGGTAAGCACCAACTCTTTTGCAGAAATTCTTCACACATGACTGCTAATGTGAGTCTTAAGGAGTTGACTTTTATTAGTAAGTGAAATTGAATTAATTCAATAGCTCATAATTTATAGAGAAAGCTGTGGTTCAAAAAGGCATGAGGCCTTAGGAGGCTCTGAAATTATATTCCCTGAACTAGAGAAAAGGTTAGATCAAGAAGAATTAACCTAGAAGGTAACACACACGCACAGGAAATCAATGTGAGTCAATGCCCTGTATAGCTATCCTTATCTCAACCAGCAAAAACCCTTGTTCCTTCCTATTATTGCTTATATTCTCTCTTCAACAAAATTAGATAAGGGCAAAATAGTTTCTGCAGGGTATCGAGGAGGGTGCAGAGTAGAAAGGGGTTGGGGTGGGTGGCAAGGGAGGGGGTAGGAGCAGGTGGGAGAAATGACCCAAGCATGTATGCACATATGAATAATAAAAAAAAAAAAAACTCAACCAAAAAGGAAAAAGAAAAAAAATATATAAAATAAAATAAAATACCTGCCTTTAATATGCTGCATTGATATTAATAAATCAAGTGATAATTATATGCCCATAGCAAATGAGTTTCATTTACTATGAAATGAAAAGGGAGATAAGAATTCATAGATGCTTCTTAAACATAGAAAAATTATCCAAATAATCCAGCCTGTAAAAAGAACACCTTTATATTGCTAACATCCAAGCACAGCAGATTCCTCTAGACCTGGTCTAGAGGATATAATACTTCTCAATTCTTAATTTTACTTTAAGTGGGGATATCTGTGTAGCTCACCATGGGGTTTTTTAAGGCATGTCATTTATAAGCTTGCTTTTGGCACTCCTGCTGTGTTTAATCTAAGGCTTTAGAGAAAGAAAAAAGCAGAACCTCTTCACCCTAGCATTTTTGCTAACATTTATAATATTACACTTTTCCGCAAGTAGTAAAACACAGCTGCTAGTGTTATAGGGTTTTAATCCACTGTCACACCTCCTTCTACCTATCCTAACACTTTGGGGAGAGCTGGATGTTCCTTAACAGTATCAGGTGACATGGAAAGCAGCCACTGAGGGAAGATTACAGGACTCCTAATAGCACCAGCCACTTCACAAAAGCCACTAAGAAAAAATGTGGTACTGCTTCCTTGTCCCAGAGTTTCTTTCCATGAGGTGTTGGCATCAAAAAGAACAGAGGTACTTGGCTTTGACCCACAAACATTTATTTGGCTCTTTTATACTGACTGAGGCCATGGTAACCAGGTCACTGGTACCCAGCAAGTTCTCCAGGCTGCAGTATAATGTTGGAACCCTGCAACACCTTTCTTTACAACACAGTCTGTGCTCTTACGTGCTCGTTCTTTGTCCACTTAGCCAACCTTTGTTCCTCCGTATAGCATGTGAGACCTTATGCCATTTGGCCATGCAACTGTTTATTATGTTTGCATGTGGCTTTTTTCATTAGCATGAAACAAAGGAAGGGTCCTAGAACTAAGGCATCCAAGACCAATTCTTATACATGGCAATCTCAGCTGGACTCTTCACTCCCCTGGGTCAAGCTCCAGCTGTGTTCCTGACTCCTAATGATCTTGTGGTCACTCAAATGTAAGCAAGCTTCAGCCTCCTCCTCCCTCCCAAGTCCTAATGTTTTGCTCTGTAGTACATATTCTCCTGAAATCGTCAACTCAATCATCTCTCTCTATACACTAAATATCCCCACATCAAAATTTTTCACTATGTGGTCTATACACTTACAAACTATTTTGTTTTCCTCTTTCAGTACAATGTTTTCCCTTCTAATCAATAAAGTAATTAATACCACCATTAAGTAATTAATGCCAGCAAGCTATTGGTTTAAAAAAAAATGCTCAAGACCTGAACA